GATAGATTCCAGCAGGTTTTTTTTTTTTGATGAATGGAAGTTGTTTTTTAACTGGCTTTTCACCAAGCAATTGTCAATTTGTGGTTGCCATGGTAATGATCAGTTTACATTGAATTTTAACTGTGACCATATTTAAATATTTTGAATCTTCAAGCTGAAATACTTGGTTTGTATCAGGTGCTATGCTTTATTTAGTTTTATTTTTGTAGTGCTGCGGATCGAACCCAAGGTTTCACACATGCTAGACAAAGTACTTTACCACTGGGCTACATCCCCTGCCATGTATTTTATTTTAGTAATGTAATCTTCACAGCCATTTTGTGTGGTAAAATTACATGTAACTTAATCAGGCACCAATAGCTCATGTCTGTAATCTTAGCTATTCAAAGCTAGAAAGTCCTGGAGACTCTTATCTCCAGTGAACTACCAAAAAGCTGGTAATAGAGTTGTGGCTCAAGTCGGTAGAATGCTAGCCTTGAGCAAAAAAAGCTCAAGAACAGTGTGCCCAGATCCTGAAATTAAGTCTAAGTACTGACACGCACACAAAATTACATGTAACTTAGAATAATATGAAATCACTGTGTCCAGAGATACATGTAGAAGATTTGGGCCAATGGTCTCTCCTCAGTAACCACATACTCTCGTCTCCTCCCACAAAAGATATGGTTGGGATTTTAAGGCTTTGGCATCATTGGAGAGTCACCATTGTAGATTGTGTAAGGATTGCTGAGTAAACCTCACCCATTTGACCCAACTAGTTGGGGGAAGTAGTTTAAGGGAAATTATTAAGCAATATGGAATCTGTTGGTGTGAACTATACACTAAAGCAGCCCTGGCTTACCTTTCCTTGGATTTTTGCAAAGCCTTTTCTTTATTTGGTCCCACATGATGTCTGCAGCTCAATACATATTTGGGAGAAACTCTGAATACCTTGCTTTATGCTGTTAGCTATGTATTTTGGCTTTGTTTTGTTTTCCAGTGCCCATTCTAGGGTTTGAACTCGAGGCTTAAGCACTGTCCCTAAGCTTTTTTTTCCCCCCTCAAGGCCAGCACTCCTTGTGCCAAGGTTCTACTTCCAGCTTTTTGATGGTTAATTGGAGATTAATGTAGGCTGACTTCTAACAAATACCCTCAGATCTCAGTCTCCTCAGTATCTAGATTTATAGGTGTGAACCATGGGATCTCAGTTTGATTCTGTTCATCTTTACTTCATTTTTCCTCTTGTCATCATGAATGAGTCAAATGATGAGTCAATGGAAATGATTTGCGGTAAATGGCTAGACATCAGAGTGGTGGCCGAAACAACAGTGTAAGAACACCTGACTTGTCTGGGTTGATAATTTTCTGAGTAGATGAGGTTTTCCCCTTTGTTAGAACTGTGCATTCTAACCACTTTTCATGTTAGTCGTTGTATAACAGGTTTGGTTCTATGGTTATTTTTAAGTGAGAGCTACAGGAGGAAGTCTCTCTTAACTGGGTTTCTCAAAGGCTTTCCACTATTTCCCCACACTGCCCTGTCTAGTTGTATGACTGCTGTGAATTTTTTTCAGCTTTTGTCTCTGCTTCGGGTGTGCTTCCTTCTACTTGACTGCCGGTTATATGGAAACCAACCTGATAACAATTGTTTCCTATGACATGGTACAGCAGTACAAACCTTCTTGAGAGCCCTCAGCCCTGACCTCCCAGGCCTGAGAGGTAGCTGTTCAGCCTGCTTTTGAAACTAGAGTAGTTTTGGCTTACTCCAAAGTGGAGAATGTACTTTGAATATACACTTTCTCTAGGTTAAAATAGATAGCTGGTCTGGATCTACCTATACATCTTGAGTTTGATTATAGAGAAGCTGTAGAAGCAGTGAGGAGTATGCACATTGCCTAGTTGAGCATAGAACTTGGAACTAGAGAAAGTTCTTAGTACGTTTTCTACAGTATTTTGAGGACAATAATTGGGCTCCACTTGATAACTAACTCACCCATTACATCCCTGTACTAGGGACCAAACCCAAGGCCTCATCCAAGCTAGGCAAGTGCTCTTATCACTGAGCTATATGCCTTACCCTCCATCTGACTTTCTGTAGCTTTATTTTCTGGGCAACTCTGTTTTCCAACCAGAATTTTGAATCATTGTTTTAATTCACCTGAGGGAATTTTTCAGAATACTAAAAGTGGTATGTGATCTGATCACAGAGAGCAATACTGTAACTTCAGTTGAACAACCCAAGTGTAGAGTTGTTGTTTCTAGTTTTTTATTTATTTTGCCTCCAAGCCTGTGAAGAGCCCAAGATAGCAGAATTCCTCCATCTGCATTGGCCCCATTTCTTCAATGACCCAGTAAAATGGGACTGGGCACTCCATTTCCATTCAGTTTGTACTATTGTGGTCATTAGAAGCATTAAGTTGAGAGGATGAAAAGCAAATGGTGCACATTTGAGTCTGTTGGAAAACACTGGGTTGTTTACAGCCTTTTTAGTGCATTTAAGGTCAATCTTTTGAGGACTGAACTTGCCTACCTCTTGGTTTTTCTAAGAAATAGTAAACTGTTGTGTTTTGGATGTTCATGTTAGAACTAGTTGTTGTTAACTCAAGGCCTATTTTTTTTTTAGCTATTATTATTAGAATGATTTATTGGACTTTAGCATTTAGAAAGAGGAGTGTGTAGGGGAACAGCTTTTCTAAATCTCTCACCTCATTAGTTGTTTGTTCCCTTCTACTCTCAAGAATTACTGATGTAGCTGGGCGCTGGTGGCTCACGCCTGTAATCCTAGCTACTCAGGAGGCTGAGATCTGAGGATCGCGGTTCAAAGCCAGCCCAGGCAGGAAAGACCGTGAGACTCCTATCTCCAATAAACCACCAGAAAACCAGAAGTGACGCTGTAGCTCAAGTGGTAGAGCGCTCGCCTTGAGCTGAAGAGCTGAGGGACAGCACTCAGGCCCAGAGTTCAAGCCCCACAACCGACAAAAAAAAAAGAATTACTGATGTAGTTGGGATGACAACACCAATATGGGTATGGATGGCATCTTGGAAAAGTGATTGGACAGGAGTGAGGAGGCCTGTGTGACCCCACACGTCTACCTCCTGGTCACGCAACAACACACATCACACTAACAGGAATCTAAATTCCACTCTGATTCTCTTGCTCCATAGAAGATGCGAAGAGGAGGGGTCTGATTAAAAGGTCTATGCCTAGAACTAGAAGAAAGATTAGATTGGAGCTCTGAAGAGAGCTCTTTGAAGAATGGGCAAATAGGGAAGGTATGAGAGCTTTGCATGCTAAGAAAGCAGTTAAGGGCTGGGCACCTGTGGCTCATACCTATAATCCTAGCTACTCGGGAGGCTGAGATCTGAGGATCCCAGTTCAAAGCCAGGCCAGGCAGGAAAGTATGTGAGACTCTTACCTCCAATAAACCACTCAGAAAACTGGAAGTGGTGCTGTGGCTAGAGTGGTAGAGTGCTAGCCTTGAGCTGAAGAGCTGAGGGACAGTGACCATGCCCAGAATTCAAGACCCTTGACTGACACACATGCAAACACGCACGCACGCGTGCACGCAATTAAGGAAAACTGGAGACCAGGAAGAATGGGGATTGAAGACCAGTTGGCCAAAGCCAAGAGTGCCATTAACACATGATGGCGAGGTTCATGTTGCCAATACCTGTGGATATTCAGTTGTGAAAGGGACCTCAAAATGAAGAGGATTTGTGTAGAAGGAAGGACTTTTCTCCTCCCACTTCACTGACTAGTAACAGATAGAGGGTGTGCATTTGAGTTCTCTGCTGTGCCAGGGATAATTGCACCCTTTGGGTCTGGTCCAGGCACCATCTTTTTTTGTGAACTTGGAATGAGCTATATTTGTGCATTTGATCTGTCTCTTGCTGTTTTCACACTGTTAGGGTAGAGTTGGGAGGTGAGACAGGTTGTTTTGCTCTTTATAGAAAAGTGTGTTGGCCCATATTCTGTCCTGTTTATTGTTTATTTACCTTTTTTCTCTTCTTTGTGCCTCTTTGAACAAAGTCTTCTTCCACAGTCCCCAGTTAGGTAGATTTTGTAGTCTTCCAAAGAGCACTTCTGGAGCCAGAGCAACATCAGCCTTGGAAATTGTAGTGATGACTACAATTATCACTTTGCTGCATTATCGTAGACACATGAGGCCTAGGCATTGCCACAGCTGCTAAAGTGTCTCTGCATTTTTTTTTTCTTTTTTGTATCTGTTCTGGGTCTTGAACTCAGGGCCTGGAGGCTGTTTTGGGGGCTTTTGTGCTCAAGACTAGGACTCTCCCATTTGAGCTCTGCTCTTGAGCTTTTTGGTGGTTAATTGAAGGAAGAGTCCCATGGACTTTTCTGCCCAAGCTGGCTTTGAATTGTGATCTCTGTCTCCTGAGTAGCTAGGATTATAGGCTTTGAGCCACCAGCATCTGGCTTACAACACATTTTCTTAATATAACTTATAAGAGATTCTTAGAGGGCAGTGGATTAGGCAGAACTTTCAATAGTATTTTTTCCTCCAGTAAAATGAACTGTTGAAAAAAAAAATCCGCAATGATAAATAAGTACTACCAAAACAGTACACCCAAATAATAACTAAGTAAAAGAAAAAGAAAAAAGTACTAGCAAGAAATACAACTATTTCAATGGGTCTTATCTTGTCTTTTCACAGTTGTAAACTTTATAAATGCTAAAACATATAAACACACTAAAGAAAATCCAGTTTTTCTTATTTTTGTTGTTGATGTATTTTGTGGGGAACTTACGCTTTTAAGCGTGCTTTAGGGCTGGGAAGGTGGCTCAGAGGTAGAGTGTTGCCTTGCATGCATGAGGCCCTGGGTTCAATTCCTCAGCACCACATAAGCAGAAAAAGCTGGAAGTGGTGCTGTGGCTCAAGTGGTAAAACACTAGCCTTGAGCTGAAGAGCTGAGGGACAGCACGCAGGCCCAGAGTTCAGGTCCCATGACTGACAAAAATAAATAAATAAGACATGCTTTAATCTGAAAGTTTTATTTTCTTACAGCCATGGCCTGAAAAAGTTCTTTTCTTGTCGTGGAATTGCAATTGCAGTTGAATATTTTTGGAAGCTTGGCAACAGAAACATCACGGTATTTGTCCCTCAGTGGAGAACAAGGCGTGACCCTAATATCACAGGTGAGACTAAATGATTTTTTTCAGATTTCTAATCAGATATTTCATGATGCTTTATATTTGCAACATGTGATACTTATCTGGTAAAATATCAATTGAGAGTGTCACAGTATACAAAAGAGGAGCTGATTTCACGGGAGGATAGAAAGCTAACATGGTTGTTAGAAAATTAGAGCTCAAATTGTAAGTAATTTTTTTGTTTTTATGCAAATTATATGTTCTTTTATTAGGCTGGGTAAATAGTGATTTTCACACTGCTCAGTTAAATTTTTCACTTTAAAATACATTATTTTTAGAACAGCTGGTTTAATAGTTCAGTATGAAACTATTTGTCATGGAGTAATTTGTGGCAGACTTGCAAACCATACATAAGAGGTTTGAACTTTCTATGAATTGTAAAATATTTTAGAGGATCTTAGCTGTTTTTTGTCATAGCTGATGGTGGGAAAACAAGTGAACAAGGCTATGCAGGAACTTAACACATCAAAGTACTAGAACAAAAAGGTAGATAAGGGCAGGGGCTAAGATTTGCCCAGTATATTAACCAGCAAGTGAAACTGAGTCACTAGTGAAGTATATGGGAAATAATGTAGACACACTTTTTGTTTGTTTGTTTGTTGTTTTGTCCCCCCCCCCCCCTTTGTTTTTTTTTGGTCATAAGGCTTGAATTCTGGGCCTGGCCACTGTTCCTCAGCTCTTCAGCTCAAGCCAAACGCTCTACAACTTAAGCCACAGTGCCACTTCTGGTTTTCTGAGTGGTTTATTGGAGATAAGAGTCTTCATGGGGGACTGGGAAGATGGCTTAGTGGTAGAGTGCTTGCCTTGCATGCATGAGGCCCTGGGTTCGATTCCTCAGCACCACATAAGCAGAAAGAAAAAAAGCCGGAAGTGGCGCTGTGGCTCAAGTGGTAGAGCGCTAGCCTTGAGCTGAAGAGCTGAGGGACAGTGCCCAGGCCCAGAGTTCAGGCCCCACGACCAGACCAAAAAAAAAAAAAAAGTCTCATGGCCTTTCCTGCCAGGCTGGCTTTGCACCATGATCCTCATGTTCAGCCTCCTGAGTAGCTAGGATTACAGGCTTGAGCCACCAATGCCCAGCTAGACACACTCATTTTGTAGCTATTTTTGCAACTGGTTCCTTAAAAGTTTTTTGTGGTGCTGAAGATCAAACCTAGGGCCTCGTGTATGCTGACCTATACCTCCAAACTCTACTCTGCAGTTCTAGAATAATGAGTTACTCCATTCAGGTCAGTGGTGAGTTCTAGTACAGGAAATAGAAAAACAGGCTATCTTTAGACCCTAGTCTTAACAGCTTTTTGCCATTGCTGATTTTCTGCAATGTGACTCTGGCCCTTCATTCTCCTCTTTTACCACCCACCTAACCTATGAGAATCAGTGAATACTTGCAGAGACCGTAAGTAAAATGAGAAAAGAAAAGAAATAACCAACCCTTTAGGGGTTGGAAATGTGGTACAGTTGGTAGAGTGCCTCACCCATGAGCAAAAATGTCTAATACCAAGTTTGAGTTCTGGTTTAGGACCAAAAAAACAAGAACAAAAAAAGCAAGATAGGAAATCAGCTAGAGAGGATGTCTGACAGACTCCTGGATGAGGGAAGGGAGTAAGCTACCTTTCTTGAAATTGGGACAAGGCAGCTTGCTCTAGGCGGCCTCTGTACCTAGCTTGTCACTCTTTTGTTCTCTGTTGCACATATCTCCTCAGTGTCTGAGCTAAGCAGCTACTTTTTAAACACAAGGTGCTTCATTTTTCTTGCTTCCTTAGAATAAACCATAAACTTGTTAATAAATCCTAACATAGCATTAAAAATAGCTGCTTAGTTCATACATTGCATTTGTCTTAGTTTGGGTCTCCCTTTCCTGCCCCGCCCCCCCCCACCCCCCACCCCCATGATTTAGTAGAAATGACTGACTAGAAAAACGGTTTTTAGCTGGGCACCGGTGGCTCATGCCTGTAATCCTAACTACTCAGTAGGCTGAGATCTGAGAATCACGGTTCAAAGCCAGCCCAGGCAAGAAAGTCCGGGAGACTCTTTATCTCCAGTTAACCACCAGAAAACTGGAAGTGGTGCAGTGACTCAAGTGGTAGAGCGCTAGCCTTGAGCTGAAGAGCTGAGGGACAGAGCCCAGGCCCAGAGTTCAAGACCCATGACCAAAGGGGAAAAGAAAAGGCAAAAAAAAAGTTTCTACAGGGCTGGGAAGGTGGCTCAGTGGTAGAGTGCTTGCCTTGCATGCCTGAGGCCCTGGGTTCAATTCCTCAGCACCACATAAGCAAAAAGAAAAAAGCCGGAAGTGGCACTGTGGCTCAAGTGGTAGAGCGCTAGCCTTGAGCTGAAGAGCTGAGGGACAGCGTCCAGGCCCAGAGTTCAGGCCCCACGACCGGACCCCCCACCCCCCCCCCCCCCCCAAAAAAAAGTTTCTATAACTCTTGAGTGAACATATGGGTAAATGTTCATTTATTTTCACATCTGGGAATATAGCCCTTTGCTGAATGTGTATTCAACTTATTCCATGAACAGAGCAGCACTTCTTAACCCAGCTCCAGGAGCTTGGAATATTATCTTTAACTCCTGCACGGATGGTCTTTGGAGAAAGAATTGCTTCTCATGATGACAGGTAGGAAAGGCTGTTTTCCTTTTTAAGGTTTGGGTGGGGTGGTAAGGTTGCCACCTGCTCCACTGCACAGATGCATACTGAAAGCACTTATGTTTGAGAGCTTTAATATTCGTGATCACTACTCAGCAGTCTTTGTTGTATGGGTTTAGGAACATCACAAAAGGAGTAATTTGAGTGACTGTTTTTGCCAGTCCTGGGGTTTGAACTTGGCCTGGGCACTGTCTTGAGTTTTTTTGCTCAAGGCTATCACTCTTACCCCTTGAGCCACAGTTCTATTTCCGTTTCTATTTTAATTTACTAAAACATGTTTGAGCCTATTGCCAGTGCCTCATGTCTGTAATCGTAGCTACACTCGGGAGTCTGAGATCTGAGGTTGCAGTTTGAAGCCAATCTAGGCAGGAAAGTCTTTGAGACTTTTTTGTTTTCTTTTTTCTTTTTTTAAAGTTGTAGGGCTTGAACTCAGGGCCTAGGCACTGTCCCTGAGTTCTTTCACTCAAGTATAGCACTCTACCACTTTGAGCTACAGCACCACTTCCAGTTTCTGGTGGTTAACTGGAAATAAGAATCTCACAGAGTTTCCTACCAGGGCTGGCTTCAAACTTTAGTCCTCAGATCTCAGCCCCCTGAGTAGCTAGGATTACAGGTGTGAGTCACAGGTGCCTGGCTCAAGTTTTTGATCCTCTTATCTTCAACTAAACAACATGAAAGTCGTAAGTGGAACTGTAGCTCAAATGGTAGAGCAGTAGCTTTGAGCAAAAAAAACTTAGAGCCAGTGCCCAGGCCCTAAGTTCAAGTCCCAGGACCAGCATGCATACACACACAGACACACACACACACAATGTCTGAGATGTTAAAGAAAAGCAGATATTTATTATTATTTTTGTTGTATGTTAAAAAGAATTGTCTTCACTTGGAAGTCTCAAGTGGTTTTTGTCCAGGCATACAAGTAGTACATGCCTACAGTCTCAGCTACTAAGAGACTAAGATAGAGGGAATCAATTAAGCCAAGAGCTAGAAATCAGCCTGAGCAGTGTAGTGAGACTAATTTTAAATGGGGACGAGAGGAAGATATTTACTATTACCTACTTCTGGTCTGTTTCTGGTTAGTGATTTCTGATTGACCCCTAGGCTTTGGGGTTATCCCCATAAAATAGATCTTCAAGTAATGGAAGTAAGCTGCATCTTTGAGAATGCTGGGTCAAGAAGTAGGTTTTAGTGTATCTGGACAAGTAAAATTTAGTTCACATATTTTAAATTGTTTTCTAGAAAGTTCAGTGAGGTCCTTGGCTCTGACTGGCTCAGGCCTATAATCCTAGTTACTCAGAAGGCTGAGATCTAAGGATCGCAGTTCAAAGCCAGTCCAGGAAAAAAGCCCATGAAACTCTTATCTCCAATTAACTACCAAGAAGCCAGAAGTAGAACTGTGGCTTGAGTGGTAGTGTGCCAGCCTTGAGCACAAAAGCTCCTAGGACCTGAGCTTAAGCCCCAGGATCAGCAAACATACAAAAAAGTTTCACTGAATGCTGGCCAAGTGCATTGTGCAGAGCTAGGTTCCAGGAAACATATTACTTAGCTGTCTCTCTTATCCTCAGCTTGTCAACTAGAAGAAGAGGTTCACATAAATTTTTTCTAAATTTTTAAACTTTTTTTTTTATTGTTATAAAGGTGATATACAGAGGGCTTACAGTTTCATAGGTCAGGTAATGAGTATATTTCTTTTCTGACATGTTACCCCTTGTTACCTCCCTCTCTCCCAGTTTTTTTTCCCTTGGTGAACAGATAAGTTAAGAAGGGAGTTTTGCTCTGGTTGAACCTCATGGGATGTTTCCAAGCTTAACCAGTGGCAAGTAGATTTTAAACTCATTATGTGGAATCAGTAGTAACAAGGCTGTTGTCTGGGAACCTAAGTGGTGGCTGCTTTTTTCTTTCCTCCTGCATTTATCCTATTTCTTTTTTATACGTTCCCCATTAATTAAAGAGAGGGTACAGCTTGCAATCCAAGCTAGTGAACGATTGATTTGATGAGAGATGAAAAGGAGGGTTTATGTGACAAAAGGGACAGTTCTTCTCTAAAAGGACCTTCTTACAGGCAGCCCCTTTCTCTGCTCCAGGCTGTGGGATGGCAGCTAAGATGGGGAGAATTTGAGTTGCTATAAAAGAATGTGGTGGGGGGCTGGGAAGGTGGCTCAGTGGTAGAGCGCTTGCCTTGCATGCCTGAGGCCCTGGGTTCGATTCCTCAGCACCAGATAAGCAAAAAGCCAGAAGTGGTGCTGTGGCTCAAGCTAGCTTTGAGCTGAAGAGCTGAGGGACAGTGTCCAGGCCCAGAGTTCAGGCCACACGACCGGCCAAAAAAAAAGAATGTTGTAGGAAGAACTGAAAGTAGTGCGACAGGTAAGAAGTCCTGGGAGACTGTCTGTCTGTGCTTTTAGCCCTGTGTTGGAGACAGGAGTGCAGTTGTGCTCAAGTTAGGAAGCAGGTTGGACTTCTGGGCTCAGGAAAAACCCTCGAGTCCTCCAACATTGTAGCTCCTCTAATCCACCCCTACAGAATATAAACCAGTCACAAATACACAGGTTAAACTTTTGCTTGATTTATTTGGGTCATTGCGCTTTAGAAGACATACTCGTGCATCATAACTAATAGTGCATGCACTTAGAGCTGTATCACCTACTTTACTAACCTACTTTATTAATACCTGGGCAAATATCCCATCGCTTAAACCCAGAGCAGTTAGAAAAATCTGGAAAATGTTTATTAATAAGCCAAGAATGGTGGTACCTACCTATAATCCTAGCACTAGGGAAAAACTGAGACAGGAAGATTATGGAGGCCAGCCAAGATGAACAATTAAAAACAAAAGAATCTCTATTAATATCTACTTCAAAGGTTTTGGTTTTTTTAATTTTCATTACTAAAAAGAGCAGTTGTTTTGCATGTCTAATTCCAGTGATTCTTAGTTTTGGTTCATTATCTTTGAGTGCATTCTGTTGAACATATGAGGCAATCCTGATAGAAGAGATAGAATTCTTTTTTTCTCTTTCTCTTTTTTTTAGAAGTTTTTTTTAATTGTGAAAATACCATACAGAGGTTACAATTACATGAGCAAGATAATGAGTACATTTTTTATCAAGCATTGTTGCCTCCTCCTTTGTTTCCCCTTCCCATCCCTGCCCTCTCATCCCCACCCCCCACCCCCCTCCTAGAATTCATTTTCTTTTCTTTTTTTTTTTGGGTCCGGTTATGGGGCCTGAACTCTGGGCCTGGGCGCTGTCCCTCAGCTCTTCAGCTCAAGGCTAGCGCTCTACCACTTGAGTCACAGCGCCACTTCCGGCTTTTTTCTTTTTGCTTATGTGGTGCTGAGGAATTGAACCCAGGGCCTCAGGCATGCAAGGCAAGCGCTCTACCACTGAGCCAACTTCCCAGCCCCTAGAATTTATTTTTATCCTCATTATTTTACCCTCTTATTAAGAGGGCTTGAATAGGAATAATTGCCTGCAGTGAAACAAATTAGTCTTTATTTTTTTTGTTGTTGTTACTGGTTGTGGGGCTTGAACTCAGGGCCTGGGCACTATCCCTGAGCTCTTTTGTTCAAAGCTAGCAGCACTCTACCATTTGAGCTATAGCACCACTTCTAGTTTTCTAGTGATTATTGGAGACAAGAGTCTTACAGACTTTCCTGCCAAGGCTGGCTTGGTACCATGATCCTCAGATCTCAGCCTCTTATGTAGCTAGGATTACAGTCATTAACCATCAATGCCCAGCTATTCTTATTTTTTTGTTACCATGTATCCTTTCTTAACCTCATTTGAATGGATCTGTAATTTAGGCATCTCTTCTTAAATGAGAGAAAACATGAGCCTATAAATTAAAAACACAAGCAGAGTTGCAAAGCTGACTACAAAGCAGCCACTCTTGCGCCACAATATGGTCACTGAGCAGCCAACAAACAACTGGCCGTTATTTAAATCGTGTCACCTCTACGCCATCTCTGCTCTGGTCATCTCGCTCAATTATTACTATTTATTTCTAGGAAAAAAGTATGTATCGTAGGTAAACTCACTTTAGAAAATTAAGCTGTATGAAAACAGTTACTTTATCATTATACTAATAATTTTAGTGATGTGTCTATTATTTCTAGTTTATCTGTGGTTGACAAGAGTTTTACTTCTGTCTGGCTTTGTCTAAATTCTTAGTGATTTTCCTAAAAAGAAATGCTTTTATTTTCTTGTAGCACACTCTAATAAGCTAGAGATACTTGCTTGCTCATTTTCAATTCTTTTATTGCCATAGGTTTTTACTACACTTAGCGGACAAAACTGGTGGCATAATTGTAACAAATGATAACTTCAGAGAATTTGTGACTGAGTCAATCTCCTGGCGAGAAATTATTACAAAAAGGTAATATTCACTTCGTCTTTGGTTAGAAAGTTTTCTTTCTTTTTTAAAAAACTTTTTTTGTTTGTTTTCATCTGTCCTTATAAAAGACTGCTATATCCCCAGTCTCTAGGCAATTTGTCTCTGCTAGGAGGAACCTGCACAAAGCAGGAGAGCCAATAAGTGGCGTGGGTAGGCTTGTGTGTCCACCACTACGTTAGGTGGAACACTGGAACACTGTTAGTAGCAAGAGGGGGAAAAACAGAGATAATATTCTGACTGGGGGTTCAGATTTTTGGAGTGCTAAAAAAAAGTTACACTTTTAATACATGATACTTTTCATGACTTACTGTTGTTATTATTAAGTAGATATACAAAGGGGTTACAATTCCATAAGTCAGATTATGAGTACATTGCTTCTTTTTTTGGGGGGGGGGGTCCGGTTGTGGGGCCTGAACTCTGGGCCTGGGCGCTGTTCCTCAGCTCTTCAGCTCAAGGCTAGCATACTACCACTTGAGCAATACCACCACTTCTGGCTTTTTTTTCCGCTTATGTGGTGCTGAGGAATCGAACACAGGGCCTCATGAATGCAAGGCAAGCGCTCTACCACTGAGCCACCTTCCCAGCCCCAAGAGTACATTGCTTTTTAATCAGTGTCATCACTTCCTTCATGACTTTTTTTTTGTCGGTCATGGGGCCTGAACTCTGGGCCTGAGCACTGTCCCTCAGCTCTTCAGCTCAAGACTAGCACTCTACCACTTGAGCCACAGCAGTACATCTGGTTTTTTCTGTTTATTTGGTTCTGAGGAATCCAAGGCTAGCCCTCTACCACTTGAGCCATAGCACCACTTCCCATTCATGACCTTTTAAAACTTACAATTTATTGCCTATATTGAGAATAGGCTTAGATGTCATCTACATGCTCACACCTGCAATCTAAGCTACTCTGGGGGTGGAGATCTGAGGATCTTGGTTTCAGCCTGGGCAGTCTATGAGACTCTATCTCCAACAGACTACTTAGAAAAAGCTGGAAGTAGCACTGTGGTTCAAGAGGTAGAGTACTAACTTTGAGCAAAGAAGCTCACAGACATTGCGTAAGCCCTGAATTCAAGTCCCAGGACCAACAGCAAAACCAAAACAAAAAAAAAAAAGGAAAAAGAAAAGCAATTCATTGGCATTCCCTTTTTATTTGTGGTTTTATGAATGTATCCAGTCTGGGAAACAGTAAAAACCCCATCTTCTAGGACTTCCTCAGGAGCAGCATACCTGATCAGGAAGCACCTACCACAAAAAAAACAAGGCAAGAACCGGAGACAAGTCATGTGCCACAGATCTTAAAACATGAAATGATATACTGGTACCCAGTATGTGTCTAACAAGTCTGTAACTAGTACCACTAGACATTTATCTCAGATGAGGTTTCACAGTTGCCCCTTGTCTGGCGTTTATAGTTTACTGAATCATTATAGCATTTTAGAAACAGCTTGTCTGTGAATGACCCTTGTGTTACTAAAAAGTTACAGGTGAGAGTTGGTCTTTCAGCGTGGTTTCTGAGACATTTGGTCAGAAACATCTGTTATGTCTCTGCCCCTCAGCTTATTTGTCAGTCTTTATTAGATTCTTATCTATCATACACAGAGGTCTTATCTATGCATATGCAGAAAACTTTTACTGCATTGAGACTCAAGCCAACCCACTTCATTGAGAATTTGTAAAAGCAAAGCAGAAAGCTAGATTTGGACAGCCAACACAGGTACTAGAATTTTTTTCTTCTTTCTTTGATTCCAACCCTTGCAAAGAAGGATTGTAGATGGAGTCTCATGTACTTTTTCTGCTTGGGTTGACCTCAGTTGTGATTCTCTGGATCTCAGCCTCCTGAGCAGCTAGGATTATATGTATATGCCACTGGCACTCAGCTATTTTTTATTTTTATTTTTGTTTTTGTTTGTTTGTTTTGCCAGTCCTGGGGCTTGAACTCAGGGCCTGGACACTGTCCCTGAGCTTCTTTTTACTCAAGGAGACTAGTAAGTACTCTACCACTTGACCCACAGCGCCACTTCTGGCCTTTTCTGTTTATGTGGTACTGAAGAATCAAACCCAGGGCTTCATGCATGCTAGGCAAGCACTCTACCACTGGGCCACATTCCCAGCCTTGTTTTTATTTTTGCATGGTGCTTGAGATTGAACCCAGGAGATAGGAACTACATGCTATACTTCATAATTATTTTTTCACTGATCTCAGTATATATATTCCCCCTCCTTGGGGAAATATATTTTTAGGTTCGTCTGAAAATTAAACCTTCATTGGATACCTGCTGAATTCTAGCCAAACATCTTACAAGTACTGCGTGCTTAACCAATTGTGCCACTGGAACTCCTAGCAGAACATCTTTAGTTTTGTTTTTATCCATTAGAACAAGTGCTGCTTCGCAAGAGGAGAGAAGGATATCAAAGTCATGTTGAGAAATGGGATGCCCACCAGCAGGTTTCCTGAAGTACTTTAGTTGTGTCCAGAATAGAGAAATTAAAATGGTTTTACCAGGTTTTCTTCCCCATTTGGCAATTTAGGATTTATAGGCTGATCATCACTTTGGAATGGAGTGGCTGCTTAAGACCTCACTAGCATTTGTGTAGCAGTAGAGAGTTAGCATTTTTCTCTATTGTAGATTGCTTCAGTATACATTTGTGGGGGACATATTTATGGTTCCTGATGATCCTTTGGGAAGAAGTGGACCTCGACTAGAAGAATTTCTTCGGAAGGATGTCTTTTCAAGGTATTTCTTCAGATTAACTTAAATTATCTTAATTAGGTTCTTGTGTGTTAGTTGAAAGACACAATGGTGGCTTTTTTTTCAAGTCTTAAATTCATTGATGCACAATGTATATAGAAGCATATACATTGTGGCAATCTTCAGTTGTGGGCCTTATTTTAATTCACAAAGCAGATTTCCCATACTGATGTCATTTATTAATACCACTTAGGTTCATTATGTATGTGTAAATATCTTAATTTTTGTTCTTTGTCATCCTATGAGCCTGTTCTGGATTGCTCTCTGTCCGAAGGAGGCCCCTCTAATTCCTGTCAGCAAGGGCCCTACCCGGAGCCAGAATCCCCAGAATAGTACACGTTTCATATCTTTTTTTTTTTCTTTTTTGTTGATTGTGGGGCTTGAACTCGGGCCTGGACCTGTCCTTAAGCCTCTTTGTATTCAAGGCTAATGCTCTACCACTTGAGCCGCAGCACCACTTCCAGTTTTTCAAGTGGTTAATTGGAGATGAGTCTTTATGGAGATTTTTCTGTCTGGGCTGGCTTCAAACTGTGTAGTTCTCAGCCTCCTGAGTAGTTAGGATTACAGGCGTGAGTTACTGGCACCTGGCTGTTTCATGTCTTTTAAAACATACCCTGGTTTAGAGCCCAAACAGGTGAATGGGGCTGACCTGGGAAGGTAATGCCAGCTCAAAAGGTGCTGAATCCCTATTCTGACTCATCTAGAGATGGTGTCAGCAGGCTTGTGTATGTGCTGACACCACACTTCCATGACAAGCTAGCATCTTATCTTTAGAAGCAGCATATTGAGCTGCATATGCTTTAAAGGGGTTCTTGTTTTATAACCCAGCTTACCAACTTTCTTCACCCACAGAGACATGCAGCCGCTGTTCAGTGCTCTGCCCAGTGTGGGCATGTTTGACCCCAGTTTCAGGGTCTCTGGTACCCAGGTAGCCAGCACCAGCCACCAGCCTCTGCCCCGGATTCAGGGAGCCTCTTCCAGCCCCTGGCTCCCTCAGCAATCCCACTTCCCCCTCCTACCAAACCTTCCTGCTGTGCAACACAATCTGCCCATGCCAGCACAGAGGTCTTCTGCGGAAACCAGTGAATTGAGGGAGGCCCTGCTAAAGATCTTCCCCGACTCCGAGCAGAGACTGAAAATCGACCAGATCTTGATGGCCCATCCATACATGAAAGATCTGAATGCCCTCTCTGCCATGGTGTTGGACTGAAGGTTATGCTACAAAGCTTGAGCTCAGGGCCCACTGATCACACTCGAGCTGACTGCTGTCTGCAATGGGAAAAATAATGTGAAGAAACCTTTTCTCCAGTGTGAACATTGTTATATTGTACAGAGAAAAGAAAAATGTTTTTGTTGTATACAAAAATCTGGGTTTTCAAAGCCAGCTTTTTTCTATATATACATTATGCTGCTATTACAGATTTAACATTTTCTGTAAAAGGAAAGTCTACATTTTCTGCCTGTTCAGAGCTGTTTAATAGCAGTTACTCTTGAGTGTATTTACATTTTTATGTTTTTTAAACTATTTTCCTTAAAGCTGAAGATATTGATAAATGGATATGGTTAGCCTTTCTAAAATAATAATTAAAGAGTCATTTTCTTAAGGAAAGCAAGACCTCTTAAAGTATATTTTCTTGAGATGAATATGTCCTGTCCACTAACAGGAAGTTTGCTCCTCTCACATCCTCTCCCTCCCTGGTTTGGGATCAGTTTGTTCCAATGGGGGTCTTTTGTTGGAGCCATTTAAGAGTGGACAATAAGAGCCACTAGATGGCACTTTGTGCCTAGTCATTGGTAATGACCAGGACAAAGTTAGACCCAGATGGCCAGGGCTAGAAAGAAGTTCTAGAGATCCTAAGAGTCCTGTTCCTCCCTTTCCACACTGCAAAAGAGGTCAGAACCCAGCCAGAGTGCTCACTGTACAGACATGCCTGCAGGTAGTAGCTGGGCAGACCAGACTGTACACCCTGTGCTTCGTGCACTGACTAGGTTGGGTCCCTGGGCACCTGACCAGATTCTGCCTCAGAAGGCTGAGACAAAGTGTGAGTTTTGTGAAGAGTTCCTTTGTTGTGATGAGCTTATTTCCACAGCCTATAGCTATGGGAGATGCCCTGATGTAGAATTTGTACTGCTTTGCCAAAAACAAAAACAAAACAAAAACCAGCCTTTTTCTATTCTCTAGTGACCCAAGCCAATAAATAGCATTAGTAGCTTCTGTGGGGTAGAGTGGGGTCCTGGAGCCCCTTTGTTTTCCTGTTTGTCTCCTAGGAGTTTCCTAAGCAGCTCTTCTGTGAATCTTTCTCAGATCTAATTCTTAGTATTGTCTTTATTCAGTGTTGCTCTAATTCTGTGTCAGTGAAATCCTTTTCCTGGTAATTCTTAGAATATTCTTATCTGGACCTTCAAAGGGCTTTGTATTTTATGCCTGTGCCCTCCCAGGTTGTTCACAGTCTTACATCTGCCCTGTGGATCATGTCTCTCCTGTCTCCCCAGAATAGTAACTGAAGAGTCAGTGTCAATTTGTTTTTCGTGGTGCAGGGACTGGATGGCACCCCAGAATGGTCCCACTAGGCATGTGTCTTCTTTGATTTTGCTTGATGTCTGCATTAGAATGGTAAATCTAGAGGAATCTAGAGCCCTCCAGGTACCCAGGCTTGTATTTCAATCCTTTTCCCTAAGTGTTGCGATGACATTCTACTATGGGACTGGTAATCAGCTATCTCTTTGGGCTAGGTTGCCAGCCTGGACAGCTGTGGAAGTAGGAGCTTCCACAGAAAACTTGAGGCAAGCCACAGAGGTGGCCAAGTCTCAGCACCCTGTGCTCAGCTTCACAGCTGGCTGTTGTCCAAATGCACTGAGGCAGAGGTGTGAAGGATGTCTCACAAGGACTCCCCTCCTGTCTCAGATTCAGCGCAGTAGTTGTCTGGAGTCTGAGAGGAAATTATTTTTCTCCTATTGCCAGGGTAGTCAGGAATTTTCAAGGTTCTGGAAATACTTTGAACATGGCTTTAGAATTCTATAAGCCTGTATTTTTGTGTTGTTCCTGAAAGATAATCTCCTCCTTTCTCCTCATGGGAGGGGAGAACAGAAAGTGAGAGAACAAGAAACATTAATTACTTTGTAAATTATACCATGAAACATAATTCACCATCTTTTTGAAATCTGTTTAGTTAGCCTGTGAGTTTAAAACTCCAGTTGCCCAACCATTAAGGATAATTTGTGATTTGTCTCCAGCTACCTCCTCTCCTCTACTAGATGTATGTAGATTGTTAGCCTCCATCTGTGGCTGTCCGTGGGAAGTTGGCTATAACTCTGCCTTGTGTTGAAACTCCCGGTTTAGGAGTTTCAAAGCATAGCTTTGCCTCCTTTGTGTCATGATACTTGTGAGAGGTGGTTGTTGAGGCAGAAAGTGTCACATTTCCTCAGCTGACAAGGTACTGCTCACAGGTTTGTCCAGGTCAGAGGACAAGTGAGCTGGATTTCCTGAGACCCCAGGCTGCCCCTCTAGAAGTTAAAGTCTTGTTTCATCCGTCTAGTAACCTGTGTTTGAGACCCTAGAGGCTCCCAGTTAGAACAGTTAGAAGATGCTTCTATTTTTTTGGGTGATGGGTAGCATTGTTAATAGGCTTGGCTGTCAGGGCCTATGGTGTTGGTGCGAGTTATACTTATGTAAACTTGCTGTGTTTCTTGTGTAATGTGAAGAACTCCAGGATTGACACAGGGAATTCCAAGTCCTCTGCTATTCCCTCAGCCTACTCCTGCCCCAACGCCTTGGGGCAACTGCTGCCAACCCTGGGCCCACTGCATCAGACTCGCCTTAGCCCACCTCCACACCTCTGAGTTGTTGCCACCTCTGTCTCCATCTCCTCAGTTCAGCTTCCTTCTTGTTTGTCTTTCCTGCAATATCCCTGAGCCCTCTCTCCTCTGTCTTCTCTCTTCTCTTCCTCTCCTCCTCTCTTCCTCTCCTTCTTCCTCCCCCTTCCTCTCCCCTCTCTTCTCCCTTGCCCTCCCTCTTTGTCCCATCCCCTCCTCCCTGTAACTTATTTAGTTAGGTTGCTCTCTTCCATATTTTCATTAGTTACCTCCCCACTGCTCACAGGTTTCTGATCCTTTTGATAAAATAAGCTGACCTCCTCCCCCATGATCATGTCTGTTCATTGCTAGTACTTACCCTGACTCCCTACTCTCAGTTTGCAAACTAGGCTTTCTCCCCACCACATGCAAGTAATATAGCCAGCGACCAAGATTGGTGGCTTCTTCTCAGTGTGCATACTCAACAGCCAAAGTTCCATGCCATTGACCTTATTCTCCCCATCTTTTCTTTCTTCCCTATTTTTTTTTTCCTTTTTCCTGAAGGTTAGTCCCTAATACCTTCTTTCTCAATAGGTAGTCCCTAAACTTTGGTCACCCACAGGATTCAAGGTGGCTCTTAAAGCCTGGAGATCTACCACCTCCATGCTCCCCGGGTGACCCACAGGTAGATGGTCCACAGGCCATATTTGAGAAGTTCTATGCTCAGGTGAGGGTCAGCACTCTTTGCTCTCCCCACTGGCCTCTTTGAGGTGCTGTGTAAACTGTTGCTAGCTTTGAGGAACCCTCCTCAGACTTACAGCCTGCCTCTGTTATCCTTCTCCTTGCCCATCTACCCTTGGAAGGTTCTCTTTATCTTCCTGTTCCAGGTTATCCTCTCCCTCTTATGTGATCTCCAGTGGCTATGGGACCAGAGCATCAAGTTCAGGCTCCCTGGACTGTCCATGGCTGTCTAGCCTTCATTGTTTGCTCTGTTTCCTCTTCATGCTCGACCCATACCTGTGGGCCCCTGTCTACCTATATACCCCTTCTCTGTTAGAAATGCCCTTTTCCCTTTTCAGAGACCTAGCAGGGAGTCCTCAGTCTGCCCTTGCCCTGTGCTCTGACCAGAAGCAGCCCCATGGTGTTCTATAGCCCCACAGCACTTTTGTGTTTTGCTTCTGGCATTTGCTGCCCTGGCTGGTGTCACTGCAGCTGATTGTGTGGTTATGTACTGTTACTATGTCTTGCCTCTCTAGACTGTGAGCTCCTCGTGGGCAGGGACTTCAATGTTCACTTTGTATTTTCCATGGCACCTAGCACAGTGCCTTGCACTTGATAGGTGCTCAATAAATGTCTGCTCAAGTGACCTGGAAAATGGTGCCTTTTCTTTCTTTTTTTTTTTTTTTTGGTCGGTCATGGGGCTTGAACTCTGGGCCTGGGCACTGTCCCTGAGCTCAAGGTGAGGGCCCTACCACTTGAGCCATGGCACCACTTCTGATTTTCTGGTGGTTAATTGGAGATAAGAGTCTCATGGACTTTCCTGCCTGGGCTGGCTTTGAACCATGATCCTCAGATCTCAGCCTCCTAGGATTACAGGTGTGAGCCACCATGTGCCCAGCACATGGTGCCTTCTTGATTGTACTGTCTGGCAGCAGGCCCCAGGGAACTTTGGAAATCAAGTTTTCAGAGGTCAGGGACCCATTTGTTGCTGTGGTAGGAGTGAGGAAAGGAGGAATGCATCTGCCTGGTTTGCTTCATTCCTCCATCTCCTCAAAGAGTTCCAGATTCCATCCTGGGCACACTGGTCCAGACAATAGCCTCTGACCCAGACATAGCCAACCAGAATCAGTCATTGGGATGTTCCCCTTCTGGAGATAGCACCTTGGAGTGCCATGCTCACATCCCTTAGAGGCCATTGGAGTAGCTGCCTGGGTAGGAACGAAATGAGGCTCCTGATGCTGAGTTCATGGCTTCCCCTGTCAGAGAAGCCCTCTGTTAGATGTCACCATGTCGGTCCATTTATTAACTTGAACTAACACTTGGAAATCAAGAATAGATCTTGAAAGCTGAGCACTAGTGGCTCATGTCTCTAGTCCTAGCCACTCAGGAGGTTTGAGCTCTGAGGATACTGGTTTGGAGCCAGCTTAGATGGGAAAGTCAATACCAGCCTAAGGTACAGCAACCTGATTCAGTGATCAGAACCAGCACACACACACTCACGAAATACCTTGAGTAAAACCTATTTGGACAGGTTCCAAAGACAAACAGTGCTTTAAGGGTGGCAACTCTAGTCTGACAATGATGGCATAACCCAACAGTCTAATGTAGAAGAGACCTTCACTACACCACAGAGTAAGCTGTTTGCTGCTGTTACCTCTCCAGGCTGTACTTTAAACTCCCTAAGCAGCAAACCAGCCTGTTTATGTGGAGTTGGACCTTCCTGTACACCTCACTTTCCCCATCTGTAAAGTAGACATAAAATAATGCTAAGCTGTAGGTGAAGCTACTCCACATTTGTGCCAGCCAAAGCCTGGAGACAAATCTTATCCTCCAGGCTGGCCACTGTAAGTGTCCTTCCTGGCCATCTCAGGGGGACCATGTGGAGGCAGGCACACACAGAATGTTTGTAAGATTTATTTATTTTTACTTATTTATTTTTGGGTCCAGTTGTGGGGCCTGAACTCTGGGCGTGGGCGCTGACCCTCAGCTCTTCAGCTCAAGGCTAGCGCTCTACCATTTGAGCCACAGCGCCACTTCCGGCTTTTTTCTTTTTGCTTATGTGGTGCCGAGGAATCGAACCCAGGGCCTCAGGCATGCAAGGCAAGCGCTCTACCACTGAGCCACCTTCCCAGCCCAGGTTTGTAAGATTTATTAAAGGGGGCCATGGTTTTCCCAGGAGAAGGAGCAATATGGTTTCACCCCTATTCAGGTGGTAGCTCTGGTCTAGTAGAGAGGTTTGGGTGGAGAATGGGCAGGGAGGAGCTTCAAGTCTGGGTAGAGCCAAGGACTGGAGGTGGGGAAAATACCAACAGTCACCGGGAGTGGACTGGGTTGGAACACCTAGGTTTGGGCTTGCTGTAACTGAAAGCTTCAGCCTAGAGAGCCCTTCCTCCAAGTAGGCAGGTCCCAAAAGAGCCCCTCAGAGTTATCAGGGTGGAGGATGTCAGGCATTGCTGAAGGGAGCTGAGAAAGCCAAGCCTTCATCTACCACCTAGGTGCAGGCCGAGTTGAGGTTCAGTTCTCAGCCTCAGCAGTGCTATGTATGGTATGGGGCTATAGAGAGGGAAACTGAGGTACTGAGATGCTGAGGAGCTGCTCAAGGCTACATGTTCAGCATTAAGGGTTTGGATTCTGAGGGGCCCTTGCACCTCCCCACAGGGCTAAGTCCCCCAGGGGTGACGACAGGATAGCATCTGAGATGAATCCCCCACCTCTGCCTGGAGAGGGAGAATGTAGAAAGAAGCTGTCTCCCACTGTTCCACACAGCCTTGTTCTGAAGGGAGGAGCTGTCCCCAAAGCACATTTTTACCAGGAGTTCACCTGCATGGAGGAGCAGCAGCCATTCTGGAATAATCCCAGCATGTTGTCACAACTCATTTCCAACAAGAGGGGCACAGATTAGGAAAAGCTCTTGATGGTTTGAAAAAAAAAAAGTCCCCTAAACCGACCCCCCCCCCCCCTCCTGCCCGCCCCATCTAAGATTCCTACCCTCTTGGCACCAGGTCCAAGAGCATTTTACTAGGGCAGGGCACAAATCCCACAACCAAGACTGGGGCTGGAAGTTTAAGGGGACTGGAATGGGCCCATTGCCACCTCCTGCTTGGTGGCCTTTGGGCTTTCCTTTGCCCTTCTTGGAAGTCAAGCCTGGACACACCCTGCCTTGACCCCTTCCCACTCTCAGTAGAGGAGGACATGGCTTCCTTGAAAAGAATGTGCCTGTCTGGCTCCTGGATCAGTCTAAGGTTTCAGCTACCAAAAATGTACCAGGAAGGCCTCCTGCAGCTGGCCCAAGGAGCCTGGGAAGCCAGCAGCTTTGCTCACATGACATCCCTATTCACCCCCACCCCCACCCCAGGGCCTCTGCGTGAGAAGGGCTGGGCAGCCATACTTATGCATAGAGCTAGGGAAATAGGCCTGCCAAGAAGTGGAGGTAGGGCTGGAGTTGCCAAACACCCACCTCCACTCCAGATGTTCACACATCTCCCTTTCTGCCCAGCAGCTGTCCATGAGCAGCACCTGCAGGGGACTGCTGGGGAAGGGAAAAGACAGCCAGGGGATTGTTTCTGAAGGACCTGAGCTTACCCGCCTGGGGCTGAGCTCCAGTGTCTTGGACACACCTAGTGCTGTGTGATCTTGAAAAAGTTATTCTGAACAATCCATATCTGGATCCTCACCCAAAAGGGATGCTGCTTCCAGAGCTGGTGGCTTTCAGTCTTGGCTATGTGTTATATCATGTGGCAGGTAGAGCTTTTCCAATATTTGGAAACCCTGAGCCTGATCCAGTTAGAACTTCTGATACCTGTATTGTCAGTCCCCAGTGACCCAGTGTGCTCTCAACTTCGAAAACAGCCCACTTTGTCATACACTTGTGGCTCAGGCCTGTATTCCTAGCTACTTGGAGGCTGAGATCTAAGGATAACAGTTCAAAGCCAGCCAGGCATGGACCTGTGTGTGTGTGTGTGTGTGTGTGTGTGTGTGTGTGTGTGTGCGCGCGCGCGTGTGCGCGTGTGTTCCTTACCTCCTTTTTTCTCAAAGCAAGTGCTTTACCACTTAAGCTACAGCTCCACTTCTGGATTTTTCTGGCAGCTTAGTGACTTAGACTCAGATCTGTGAGACTGAGATCCTCAGATCTCTGCTTCTTGAGTAACTAGGATTACAGATGTGAGCCACTGGCACCCAGCTCACCATGAGACAAAAAACAAGACAAAAAAAATCGACTACAGCTTTTTTTTTTTTTGTCTGTTGTGGGGCTTGAACTCTGGGCCTGGGCGCTGTCCCTGCGCTCTTCAGCTCAAGGCAAGCGCTCTACCTATTGAGCCACAGTGCCACTTCCGGTTTTCTAGTGGTTTATTGGAGATAAGAGTCTCACGAACTTTCTTGCCTGGGCTGGCTTTGAACTGGAATCCTCAGATCTCAGCCTCCTGAGTAGCTAGGATTACAGGCATGAGCCATCGGTGCCTGGCTGACCACAGCTTTTGTGGCACTCAAACCAGCCCCAGAGAAATGAAGACTCACCCCCATGAGGTGTGACCTCTCTCCAAGGTAGCCCTAGGGGTATCAGGGAATCTGTCTACAGAAACTGAACAGCACTGCTTGCCACAGAAAAGAGTACTTTACTCTTGGCTTTTTAAATTTATGAGTTTTAGAACCACATGCTCTGTTGATAGACAAGAGAAAAGGAGCAACAGTCAGTGTGTGTGTGTGTGTGTGTGTGTGTGTGTGTGTGTGTAGGAGGCCCTGGGTTTACTTCCAGCAATGCCAAACATCTTTAAGTTGGAGCTGTGGGTCCAGCTAGCCTCAGTTCTAGGGCCCCTTTGCAGTGCCCTCTGGGCCAGCATGTTGGCTCCTGGCCTCCAGTCAGTCCTCTACCCTCTACCTTGCTGTCACCTGTCCCATAAATGGCTTCCAGGTCTCTGCTGCACCTCTGCTCTTTGGGTAAGAAGAGTCAGGTCCCTCCCCCCTGCAGTCCTCAGCCTGGTCCTCTTAGGTCAAGGATACTGCACTGGTCCTAGCTCTGCTCTAGATCCCTTTGAATTTGCCTCTTCTCCTTCCTGGTCCAAAACAAACACTGGAATTTAAAGGGGGGGGCGGAGAGCTGGAAGGAGGGTGGGTTCCTCCTCCTGCCACCCACCTATGTGGCATAAAATTGCCTGGAGTTCACTCCTGGTTTTAAGGAACTTACTACTGAGAGCTGTTTGTGGCCACCTGTACAACCACCTGTCTCAGTGCTCCTGAGGGCAGAGTGTACAGTGAGCAGGAGGGGACTGCTGTACCCTGCCGTAAGTGATTCTGTGAAGATTTTTGTGCCAAGAATAGACATTCTCTCGTGGCTGAAGGTAGAGCCAAGGATCATGAATGGACAATGCCTGTGGCAGCTCCTGCCCTATGATCCTCACTCAGCATCTGTCAATGGGCAAGCCCTGCCATTCGGGTCCAGGCACACCTCAGCATGGGATAGGGGCTGTCTTATGGGAACCTGGACAGCTCTAACCTGTCCTGATCTCCAGAATCTCTTCTTACCTAGAGCAGGCCAAGGCTTCTGTAGAGAAAGGTTCATCCACACTTGCCCCTCTGGCCCAGCCTTCCCATTCCTAGGTATTTATACTTAAGAGAAAGAAAATGTGTCTACATAAAAGACTTGTGCAG